AAACTGGGTTTCAAAGATCAAAACCACTCAGCACTCATGTGAGCTCCATTTATTTATGTTCTCCGTTTTGTATCAGGCGGAAGTATCAAACTCTGCCGAGTCTCGCTCGACCGATTTTCCAAATTCGACAGGTTTCCAGAAGAGTGATCTCAAAACCCGCGCGGGTCTGAGCATTTGCCCAGCGAAGATGACTCGCTTCGGATGCGCTTGCGATGGCTGTTGAGTGAGAGTACCGGCCCATTTCGGGCGGGCAAATCGGAGAAAAGAAGGGTCCAGGCGCCTGCTGTGGCATGTGGGTTCATAAGGCATGAAGGCACCCAAGGATTCACCCATCAGGATCAGAAGACAGTAGAGAATAGGATGTGACGAACTAAAGCCTTCATATCTTTTATTCGACCTATTGAACATTGCAAACACATACGAGTACTTTGCTTGTGCATGGCGTGGCCCCCTGCGGTGCCACCATGCCTTCGTGTACGGAGCGTTGGGCCTGCAGAACAGGAACTAGACGATGGAGCCACGATTAACCCTCGGGAACCGAAAACAAGCAGTCAGAACTCTCCATTCGACTCTGCCAGAACTGGGCTATCGAAGATGGGGAAAGGACCACCTGTGACCACCTCAATGTGAATCTATAGACGATTTCCTTGCTGCTTTGTTAGCGTGGCCATTCGCCCAAGGTGCACCAGTCGCCCGGCCCTTGGCGCTCCCCACAGGTTGGCGGTGGTGATCGGTGAAAACTGGGGCGATCGTTGGAGAGAATGGCTAAGCTTAAGCCTTGGCGCATGGTGGACCAATATAGAAACCTATTGCCTATCATTATCAAATTATCAATAGTGATCATTCACGATCCATGTGTTCAGAGTAGATTCCTGATTCCCTATGATGTAGCTCTTCAAGACAGCATGACCGCTAAGCCCAGAGAGAGAGAGAGAGAGAGAGTGCGAGAGAGAGAGAGAGAGTGAGTGAGTGAGTGAGTGAGTGAGTGAGTTTGAGAGTGAGTGAGAGTGAGAGTGTGAGTGAGTGAGAGTGAGAGTGAGAGTGAGAGTGAGAGAGTGAGTGAGAGTGAGAGTGAGAGTGAGAGTGAGTGAGTGAGTGAGAGTGCTTCAGCAGCTTCCGCCGACCTCCAACATTAATCGGTTCACCCAAGATCTTAAGCCTCTGCAGGCTGGAGCCTTCGTCCACCACCAGCCGCTCGGTGCATGGTGCCTGCGCATGCCTGCGTGCACGGTGTGCCTGCTGGGGAGTCAATAGCCATAGTCAGGTGTTTAAGGTTGGTTGCGCATGACCACCCGGGCTGCCACTGTCAGTGATATGTGTTGAACACCAATGATTTGCCTTTTGGGCACAGGAGAGGTGTGTCCTCGGAGTGCCACCTGCATCAAGGGGTATCCTGACCCTGCGGGGCCGTTCTAAGTCAACAAGGAATAACAAAGCCTTGTTGGGATATGTTTGGATGGTCAATATATACTGGGGCAATTACAAGATACCATACTACGGATTTTCTGGACCTACACCGAAACATATAGGTTCAGCAATGAACAGTGAGATGGGGGCTTTGAGAAGGTTGCACCGGAAGCCAGCTAGGCCGGGTCGCTCTACAGTTTTGAAAAAATGGGTCCTTTGGCAGTAGCCACCCTTCGCTTCATGGGAGGATCAGTGTGAGGATGGCAACTCCGGTGGCAGATGGTAGGTAGAATGTTGCTCTACGTGTTCGATACTCTAAGGCGGCTGGCTTGAGCTTCTTGGCAACACAGGGGGCGTTTGGGTGACTGGGAAGCGCATTCTTGATTTGGACGCATGGGAAACCATGGCAAGGCAGGCATACACATAAACGATTTACGTGTAGATGCAGACCAAAGCTGGAATTTGGGCATGATTTGACGGAAGAGACGATGTATTCGGACCCTCGACTTCGTTACCCAGAAAGGCCATGAGTCACAGGTACTGCAATTCATGCTATGGGCCCCTTGTCCTATCATATGAGCAACTGCCAAAACCACTGTAGTGAAGGCAGCATCACTACAGTGAAGACGACCAGGTAAGTAAAGTGAAGGAAACCTTCAGGAACGATGAGGTTCACAGAAATAGAAGGACCGGATAACCCCACATGTTAAGCTTGTAACTATCAACGAGAAGTAGAGATTGATAAGAAAAGAGGACGGAAAGATACTGGACGATAAAAGTGAAAGAGATGAGTGGCGTGTGATGAGTGGTGTGTGATGAGTGGTGTGACAAGAGTGGTGGAAGTTGAGTAATGTGTGATGAGTGGTGTGTGATGAGTGGTGCAAGATGAGCGGTGTGTGATGAGTGGTGTGTGACGAGTGGTGTGTGATGAGTGGTGTGCGATGAGTGGAGTGAGATGAGCACACCTGTGAGATGAATGGTGTGTGATGAGTGGTGTGTGATGAGTGGTGCGAGATGAGTGGTGTGAGATGAGTGGTGTGTGACGAGTGGTGTGGGATGAGTGGTGTGAGATGACTGGTGTGTGATGAGTGGTGGGTGATGAGTGGCGTGTGGTGAGTGGTGTGTGATGAGTGGTGCGTGATGAGTGGTGTAAGATGAGTGGTGTGTGATGAGTGGTGTGTGATGAGCGGTTTAAGATGAGTGGTGTGTGATGAGTGGTGTGTGATGAGCGGTTTAAGATGAGTGGTGTGTTATGA